GTGTAGCCCAAGTTGAGACCTTTGCCTTCTTCGAGCTACGTCCCTCAAGTCCACCCTTCAAATCATGACTAGCAGAACCTGTCCATGGTGGTCTTGTTGTTTCATGTTCTTGTGTTTTCCACGCCCGGCTCCCATCAGGTTGACCTGGTCGAGATTATACAGACAGGACCTGTGATATACACGATAATGGATCCGCACCAACTGTGCGGGATGATGCGTCCTTCTTCGGTGAGCTTCTCACGGACTGGTCATGCACTTCCATATTACCCGTAGTGAACCATATTCACACCAACATCTTTCCGCAACCTCACGCATAACTCGGCACCTCGACATTCTTCACCACGACCTTGTTATCCTTGTTGTTGGCGTAATTGGCATCAATGCTCGCGAAGCGGATCTTGACCCATTCCACCGCACTCACGCCCTGTGGAGGCATGGCCCTGTTGTTGTTGCCCTGGATCTTGTCCCTCTCTCGTTCCAGAAGCGGACTCCTGATCGGCTCCAAGAGGGTGTCGTCGTCCGGGTTTGCAAAGTAAATGACGCCGTAGCGCGGGACATGTCGCTGGTCCTCCGGGGGCAGGACGACGCGGTGGATCGAGCTCTCGAGGTAGCCGCCGGTGAGGAAGGAGAGCGTGTCGGCGACGTTGACGGTGATGCTGCCCCGGAGCGGCTTGACCCATTTCCACTCGGTCTCGCCGTAGGGCCGGACCTGCAGCGCCGCGACGGGCTGGCGCATCAGCAGCGTCAGCGACCCAAAGTCCGTGTGCCCGTAGACGTTGTGCTCGACGCTGTGTCTCTCCATGGTCGCCAGCTCCGCCTCGGTCCGCGGGTGGTAGAGCATGTACCGCAGGTGACACTGCGACTTTGCGTCGTAGCTGTGCAGCTTCCACAGGGCCTCCTCGTCGTCGAGTTCCATGATGATCGCGCACAATATCAGCAGCCGCCGGAGGACGTACGTGGCCATGTGTCTCTGGAACTTCTCCGCGCGCGCCGCTTCCCGCAGGAGAGGCGCCGGGCGCGGCAGATGTCTATACGCGTCGCACCACTTCGGATCGTCGTACAGCTCGAGGTTGTCGACCAAGCCGTGCTGCTGCTTGCGGCTCCCTCGGGGCTTCCACCCAAAGAACCCCAGGCCGTCCTTGCCCACGCGGCATTTCTGTTTCTCTTCCTCGGGCTGGTCGAAGATGGCCTTGGCGAGGGCGAACTGCGCATTCACCTCCTCCTCCGAGAGGCCGAAGTTGGTCACGTAGAAAAAGCCCACCGTCGAGATGGCGTGCTTGAGTTGGGACGCGAGTGCCTGTTTCCCGCCCGGCGCGTCGAAGCGCGAGAGGTCGATGGTGATCAGGTCGGCCCAGTCCAGGTCGGCTTGCGTCTCGGGGATGTCCTGGTAGCGGGTGTAGTCGACGTTGACGTCGAGAGATCCCATTTTTCCCCCCTCTTTTTTTGGTGTGTTTCGGTTGGCTAGAGGGGTGTAGTTGTGAAAGGAGGAGGTCAACAAAGATATTCTATACAAGCTTGGACAAGAGCATATAACCAGGTATCCTCGCCTGTCGGAGACACCATCATTACACCATAACATACCTTCGAAACCTTGATAACCTTGTAGTATTTGTGGGACACGTCCTTGCAGTAGGTTTGGAATGCGGAGAGAGACGCACAGAGAGTGACCGAGGGTATCCGGCTATCCCAATGGCACGATAACAAACAGTTCATCATGGTGGGTGGTCTTGAGCAGGAGAGTTTGGAACTATGTACTTTGTACCTTTCTAGATATACGCGTTATCTTCATTGGCTTGACGGCAACTAAGTGTTGGATTTGTTTGTATAGGCGAAGCTCAAAGTCTATCATAGATTCCTATACAAGCCACAGAGTAGAGACTTGGCTCAAAGATTTCGAGTCCGGCGCCGTCTGAACCACGAAGAATAAATGCAACCTAACTTCGAACACGCAAGACACGCACGTATTCAACAAGTCAATTGACTTTACCAGAAAAACTCCACCCCTCCTCAAACCACTATGATGGCTATCTTCGATCATGCCCATTGCCTAGGATAATGAAGAAAGACCGGGCAGGGATCGTCCGTCTCCACACATCTCCCTCTTCCAGTTATCCGAGGACCATCACACAGGGTCTGGACCTCTACAAATGCAACGCAGACAACTACTGACAAGACTCCCTTGTGCCCAGAATACCCAATAGACCCTCAATACACACCATGGGCGACGCCGGAGATCTGTCATCCCGCGAGGAAATCTGCAAAGCCGCCCGAGAACATCTCCGCGCTGAAGGCTGGGCTGTCATCCCGGATGTCCTGGACAAAGAAACAACGACAAACGTGCTCGACAGGCTATGGAAGGCCAAAGAGGCGGGTGAGCGTCGTGGGGACGCCACATACATTCCTCGACTGGACCCCAACGAGGCCAATGTTCGCGTCTTCTATCTTCTCGAGCTGGACCAGATCTTCCGAGACCTCATCGTCCACCCGGTCGCCCTCGACATGGTGAAATCCGTCTTGGGGGACAACTTCCTCATCTCTAATTTCACGGCGAATATCGCTCGACCGGGCAGCCAGTCCATGGCGCTCCACAGTGATCAGAGCATCGTGGTTCCCGAGCCGTGGAAGGAAGTCTGGTCACTCAACGTTATTTGGTGTCTCACCGACGTCTACGGCGACAACGGTGCAACGCTATATATCCCCGGGTCGAACAAGTACGAGTCAAGACAGGACATTCCCGCAGAAGCCGATAAGCTACTCCGACCCTTCGAGGCCAAAGCAGGCAGCATCATTCTGATGGACGGCCGTGTCTGGCACACCTCGGGCGCCAACATCACAAAGGATCAAGACCGCGCGTTGATGTTTGGATATTACACCAAGCCATTCCTTCGGCAGCAGGTCAACTGGACGGCCAAGTTGCCCCGTGAATTGCAAGAGACTCTGAGCGACGAGATGAAGGAGTGGTTGGGCCTGGGATATAATGCCAATATCGCCAGGACGGGGAATACTTCGTACAATTATCTCAGTAGGCAGTTTCCAAAGGGAGAAGCGCGAGCTTAGTTTGAATAGCAGGGACTACATCAATACCATGTCTGTCACAGCATCACGAGATCTATTTCATATACATTGGATGCCACTGTTCACAATCACTGTGTCTCTCGTGCTGCACGGCGTGATGATTACCCGACACTCAATACCGAGTACACAACATCCGTCGTACTCGCCACCCATGGCGGGCCTTGGTTTCCACTTTCCCATTCTTGCTCGTCCTCGGTTCTTTAATACTCTGTACCAAAGCGGAGCCCAGATCCAGAAGTTGGACTATGGTCCAATAAACACATGGTCCAGTGACTACGAAATCCCCGAGGCTTACCTGATGCGGATTGTTCTGGGGAGTAGGAGGGGTATCCGGGAGCATGAAACGGTAGGTCGAAAGGCTGAATGAGCCTCGTGTGCGTGTCGGAGAGAGAATAGAGGGAAAGATCTGACTGTTTCCATCCCTCTGCTGCTTCAGACGCCGGTCCGTATTAAATAAAAGACAGGAGCATCTCTTCTTGCTTCCTCCGGTCCTTTACCTCCCACTTAGATTCCTCCCCTCAATCTATTCCGTTCTGTCAGTTTCACAATGGCCACTCAAACAGCTACACAGACGCTGCAGCCCAGCTCGCTCAAGATCAAAGGGAAAAGGGCCGATCTCGACAAACATGTCAACCTGGCCAAGTTCTCGACGGACGTGCCAAAGGCAGACTATGATCGAGCAGTCGAGCTAATCAGGTCTAAATTGGACAACATGTCTCTTGTTGCAGCCAGGCTCTCACTCACTCTCGGACCAAACCATCCTCCGTTGCTGATTGATGCGCGTGCCAGTCCTGCGACTCTCGATGTCATCACCAACGGCGAAATTCCCGAGGATGTCGATGCTCAGGTCTACATCACGGCCGTCATGATCAAGAGATTCGTCGATGGTCTTATGGATGCTCGCTATGCCCTCAACTGGGGCCATATCTTCATGCTCACCGGCCCGACACGGGTTGGAGTCAAATTCGTCGACGCCCTGACGCCATTCAACGCCGTCCATCCCAAGCTCGACCGACTAGATCTGAAAGAATTGCCCAAGCCCACCGAGGATATCGAACAGGTCAAGCGCGATCTCGACGTCTGGGGATACGGGTTTGTCAAGAACGCGCTCACCCCCGAAGAAGTGCGCGTGCTCAGAAAGCGACTCATGGATCAAGCCCAAGGCGAGGCCGACGCTGGCATCGGCTTCTTTGACGGTGGCGAGAAGAAGCCCAACCAGCGGATCTGGTGCTTGCCGAACAAGGGCAAAGAGTTTATCGACCTGCTTGAGAACAACAAGACTATTCAAGACGTGGTCCCCGACTTCCTCGGAGACGATGCCATCCTGTTCTCGTACACGGCGAACATCGCTCGGCCGGGAAACACCCCGATGCACATGCACACGGATCAAATCACCATCCAACCACCCATCAGGTCCGTGGCGGTGGGCATGAACTTGATGTATTTCCTTGAGGATGTCACGGCAGAGAACGGCGGGACTTTGGTCATGCCAGGGAGCCACAAGGGGAACTGGGCACCGGACGACCCGTACGATCCGGTCGACACGGTGGCAGCGGCTGGTCCCGCGGGGACTTGTATGGTCTTTGAAAGCAGGCTCTGGCACGCGACGGGGGCGAACAAGATGCCGGCAGACAGCGGCAGCGAGAGACCGGTCATTCTGGTCTTCTTCACCCGGCCATGGATGAGACAGCAGGAGAACTTCTCGCTGTCGGTCAAGGAGGACGTGCTGGCCACGTGCTCCGACAAGGTCAAGGGTTACCTGGGCTTCAGGACGAGCGGGAGCATCGGCGGGGTTCAGACGAGGCAGAAGGATGGAGACATTGTGAGAAGGCCAAACGAGGACGAGTTTATTGGCGTCATGGGTGTAGGCACCTCCAAGTACTAGTCATACATGGCCGTTGAGTCCCATCCGCGCAGACCGGGAGTCAACAGATTCTGTGCTATAATGGTCTCACGCTTTGCCAGAAGTTCCTCCACGTCCCAGTTCACGTACAGTAGTCGATTCTGCAAATAGGCAGCCTCAGGGGCATTTAGCCAGACGAGGAAGTCTGCTGCCAGTTCGGCTGGACAGGTCAGTCAAGCCGAGGATGGCTCCCGGGGGGGGGGGGGGGTTCTCCTACCAGTGTCATCACATTTAGAATTCCCCTCCTTCGCCATCGCTGTGGCGACAACCCCCGGGTGGACATGAAACACCTTGAGACCGCGCGAGGCCTGCTCGTGGAAGAGGTAGCTGAACATCTTGAACGCCGCCATCTTGCTTGCGCCGTACCCGGACAGACCGGCGACGAAATCAATCACGGCGGCACCAGACGTGATGTTCAGGACCGTGGGGTGTTCCGACGCGCGTTCGAGGAACGCCGTGGCGAGAGCCAGGGGACCCTTCACGTTGACTTCGAAATGTCTCCAGTAGCTGTCAAAATCCCACTTGGCGCCCGGCAACGGGGTCGTTGGCATTGATGCAATATAGCCTGCGTTGTTCACGAGAATGTCCAGCGGACACCCAGCGACCTTGCATGCCTCTGCAAAGACCTCGCGGGCTTTGTCTAAGCCCTCGCTGACATCGAAGACGAATTTCCCGACCAAGACAGAGGGACACTCCCTTGATATTCGATCCTGTGTCTCCTCCAGAGTCGAGCGCGTACGACCACTGAGAAAGACCGCTTTCACTCCCGCCCTCGCGAAAGACAGGGCGGTCGCTGCTCCGATGCCTGACCCAGACCCTGTGATGAAGACGGTCTTGTTGGTCAGTTCTGCCTTTTTCAGTCGCTCTTGTAAGACCGGGTACGTGTCATTGTGGAACGTGGAGGTAAAGTTCTTTCTTGTTATGATGGCCATGTTGGACTGGATTGCAATGGCCCGTGAGACAGCAGGATGCGCACGACATCTCTAGGCCTTCATTCCACATCTGGTCAAGAACCATATCCCCCTGTCAATGCAAGAGAAATAAAGCCGAGGCCATGAATACTGAATCTGGAAATCCGAGTCAGCCACTCACGCTAATCCATTTCCAGATAACCGAGGCTCTGGGATTGCGGGGTGATCAACACGAGGACCCAAAGCTCCACGACCAACCACAACCATCATGGTCCAGGTGCCACTTGCTTCCCCAACATTGTGGGGGAAAAGCGAGTCGTTTGGCTTGCTCCTGCCTGGTAATGTTCCTCGGCGATGGCGGCAGACCCTGCAGAAGCTAATATGTGGGTTGTACGAATGAAGGTTGTGTCGCAGGCGTTGCGCCGCTTGAGCTTGTTAACTGCGCTGGATGGTCGACCTTCCAGCAATCGGATTGCTTGCGAATTTGATTGTGCGAAAATTGCCACAGAGCACGAGCTCTTCACACTCTCGTTGTCAACTACCTCGGAGCCATTGAACTCCAGCAATTGCCACCGGTGCCAGATTCGCACTCTCGAGCAAACATGAGTGCCATCCAGCCAGACCTTGAGACACTCTCGCCCCTGCCTCGATCGAAATACAGGTTCATCAAGAACAAACCACCCAAGAAGCGTTCCTCGCAAGCATGCCTTGAGTGCCGTCGGCGAAAGGTCCGTTGCGATATCGTGGCCCAAAAGCCAGCCTCCTGTACAAACTGCCGACTCGACGGAGTTACATGTGAGTTGGGGAGAAGAAAGAGGCGGCTACCGTATGTTCAGCATCAGTCTATGCAGGGTGGTTCTGTGCTGATGAGTGTCACCAGAAGACAGGAAGTCGTCCAACCCTCCCCTCCAACGCCGGACTCAACTATCTCGTCGCATCGACATTTTCACGCGCATCCAGAGGTTGACGCACCAACGCAACATGAGGACCGGGGCGCCTTCGATATTCTTTCGAGTCCAGCCTTTACATTCACCGATACGCCTCAGCAGAGTCGTAACCCGGAGATTACTGCGCCGGCGCTCTCGTGCCTCGCGAAGCTGGCTACAGACATCGAACTGCCCCCTTTTGTCAAACCCTTTCCCGAAACCCTCCAGGCCGAGGATTGGCAGTACCTCTGCGCAAAGAAATGCTTCGATTTTCCCGACCCAGGATTTGAAAGACTCATCTTTCAACGGTTTACAGAGTTCGTCCAACCACTCCTTCCCATCGTCGATGTTCCCGACATAATATCTGCCATTGAGGGGCAATCTCCAACCAAAATCTCGCTTCTTCTGTATCACACGTTGATTGGAGCCGGGCTTGCCGCCGTGGAACTTGACGAGATCAGGAGATATGGCTACGAGAGCAAAGCGGCTGCGAGAAACAGCTTCTATTCCAAGGCAAAGGTTGGCTTCCCAATGGTAAAGTGGGGGAATGAGTAGGCTAATGCGCACCAGGCACTACTTGACATGGAGGTGGAACCTGACCGCATAACAGTGTGTCAGGCGGCCTTGTTGTGCATCAGCTGGTCAAGCAACAACGACCCGAAAGACGGACTGCATTGGATGGGGATAGCCTTGACGCAGGCATACTCGATTGCCCTCCAAAAGGCGGCCACCAACACCGATTCGCCGTTTAAGAGACGTCTTTGGTGGACATTGGTGATGAAAGAAGCCGATGTCTGCCTCTCCATGGGGAAGCCAACCCGTATCATGGCTCTGGACCAACTCATGCTGGATCACGCAGATTTCAGCAGCAGTGGGCCAGGCACTTCGTCACAGCGTATGCTCGAAGCGGCCTGTATTGAGAAGGCGAAACTGTGCCTTATCATCCACAGAGTCTTGCGCCTGTTACATAGTGTCGACCGACGGAATGTTACTCCTGCAGCGCAAGATTCCAGAGTGTGGCAAATGGACTCGGAATTGCAGGACTGGAACCATCAAGCACCATTCGACCTGTGGCACTTTGCCGATGACTTCGAGTCGAAACGGGTGCTCCTGACTGTTTCCATGGTCAAGTTGAGTTTTCTGATGGCTGCCATCTTGGTACATAAGCCTGAAGTCCCCATCAAGAAATGGACAAAGTGTATGGAGGAGACGCCTGACCTCTACCTGGACGAAGAACTCTGTCGGTATCAAGCTCACGCCAGAGCGATGAGAAGGGCAGCCAACGACATGACTCGCATCCACAGAGACTTGCACGACGCCGGCTTGACCAGTGTGATTCCTGCTCTTGGAGTTGCAACCGTCTGTGCGGCAGTGAGTGTCCACTTACTGGATGCCCGGTCGACCAGTGAGGCGATACGGCAGAGGAGCCTGCAGCAACTCGACGCGTGCTTGGTTGTCTTGCGGGAAATCAAAAACCTGCATTACACGGCGGGCGAGGTCGCCAGGATCGTCGAAGGCACTATCAAGGCAGTGCGCGAGAACAGATCACTGGAGTTCGTCAAACAGTCCGGAACCGCTCAGGTCCTGTGCAATACGCTCCCCCAGGCTGAAGATATATCGGATCAAAGCGGCCAAGAGCTTCCAGCCGCTAACATCTGGATCGACCCCTCGCTCGACGTCGAGCATATCTTCAATTTTGATCTTGAAAGAGATTTGTTTTTCGAATGAAACTCGGGAGATTCACCAGGTCGCTGGCTTCATTGGTCGGCTGGAGGGAATCGAAAAGGAATCGAGATCTCGCAGTGATTTACATGGATGATTGATGCCATGAGCATCATGATGCAGGTGCATATTCGATTTTTGAATATACATGTATATTCGACATCCTCTAACAGGATCGCGCGCCAGATCTGGAGTGAAGCAAACGGACTAGTTGATATCCCCAGACTAGCACAGGGGAGACTGAAAAGGCAGGTTAGGCGCAAGCCGGTCAATTATCTAAGCGATAAGGGCAGCCAATCCGGCCCTTCTTGGAGTCACAACACCTTCCCCATAGTAGACTAGTGTGGTTTAGATAACGGAGTGCCCCGATTGATTGATTGACCAGGGACTCGTATGACTTGGATTCTCAAGTGCAAGTACAAGTACAAGGACAGCACTTCGTGTAACCACGTTCGAATCAAATGTCACTTCCTCTCGCGGCTTTTAAGTCTATCACAGACCTGTCTGGTCTGCCTCACGGCAACATACCATGTCTCCCGATACGAACGGGCAGCCTGCGTTTACCATCCCAACCGTCGACCTGACAGCCTACCTCAACGACCCTGAATCCCCTGAGGCTGAAGATATAGTGGCACAAATCCGTACGGCCTGTGCAACCAGTGGTTTCTTCCAGATCACGGGGCACGGTGTCTCAGAAGCTCTCCAGAGGCGGGTGTTTGCTGCCGCCAAGGCGCTGTTTGATCTGCCTGACGACGAGAAGCGCAAGCTCAGTGGGAAACCCGGCCGCGGATTCGAGATCATTGGCGCCCAGACCTTGGAAGGTGGCATGAAGCCCGATTTGAAAGAGGTACGCAGTCTGTCATTGGACTTGTCCTGGAAATCGGAAATTACACGCTAACATCCTGTCAGGGATATTATGTTGGTCGCGAGATTCCGGGCAATAAGCCGCCATTCAGACCGTTCCAAGAAGCGAATATCTGGCCTCCCCGGATCCCGGAGTCAGTGTTCAAACAACCCTTGCTGGAATACCATCAGGCTGTGTCTGACCTGTCCTTTGTGCTTATGCGGATCTTGGCTCGAGGTCTGAATAACTTCGACACTGCAGTGTTTGAAGACTTTTGTCGGGACCCCATCGCTGCAATTCGACTGCTTCACTATCCTCCGCACCCGGGATCTGATGACGCGGACTTAGTTGGCGCCGGTGCACACACAGACTTTGGAGCCATCACCCTCTTGCTCCAGGATGGACATTCCGGTCTCCAGGTCCTGAACGAGCTTACCGGGGAATGGATCGACGTGCCGCCCCAAGAACACGCATATGTAGTCAATGTCGGAGACATGCTACAAGCCTGGACCAGTGGCGCGTATAAGAGCAATATCCACCGAGTCATCAATACTTCTGGCACGGACAGGTATTCGATTCCTTTCTTTCTAGACGGCAACGCAGACTGTGTCATCAAGCCCCTGGACGGCTCTGAGGGCAAGGCGTTCACGGTCGAAGAGCATATGCTGTCTAGATACGCTGCCACCTACAAGTCGTAGCATGGAAGGGAATACTCCGGCTTAGTCCCCACCCTCTGCAGAGGCTGGTTTACCGTGGCGCGTACTAGGCAGGCTAGGTAACCTTTCTTCAGCCGCACTGCACGATGACGTATCTTCAGCCTGATTTCCAAAAGTTCCTGAGTCCCAAGCCCTGGAGGCAGACGTTTGCCTCATGCGTATTTCTCTACCAAGGCACGCAAAACGGTTGGATGCACGAGACTAAAGCACGTCAGCTCGTTCAGGGTCATTGCAGAGCTGCCTCCCCTCATTTTTTGTGACTTGCGACCCAAAGAATTTTCATCAGGCTGAAAGTCATCCAGAATGTGGCTTGCATCTAGACCCTCTTCGGCTAAGCGAGCTCAATCAACCACACACGAGCCACCGTTCGTGAGACAGGACCCCTGTCGTAAGAGCATGCATTGTCGAGGGAACTTATGCTACTCGTATCCACAAGGGACGGGCCTAGGTACCGGTCTCTCCCTCCCAAGAGAGAGTCCTCCCGCAGCCTTAAAACACCTTTAATCACTCCCACCTCGATTCCGCATCCTCTCGCCCTTTGCTACATCTGCTGGAAACCTGGGGACATCCCGAATTGGACTATTGTGAACAATATGGATGGTTCATCGCAACGGCTGGCAAGACCGGGGCTATTGCCCGGTCCGCAATCCTCTTCCTCGACGCTCTCGCGGGATCCCTCGCCTTATTCGAACGTTGCGTACCGGTCGCAAGCGACACTCTTGAATAACAGAGCCGAGTCGCCAGCCGACCTAGGAATCAGATTCCTCTCTGGAAATGAGGAGATGGCCGCAGACCGACCCAATGTGCCGGCGCAACCTGCAGGTGGACTATTCACTCCCCCGTGCGCGTTTTCCGCGATTTGGCTAATCTTTGGCTGGGCACAGTCACCTTGACTGCCGTCTCAGACGTCAGTAGGAGAAATTTGGCGAAGCTGGAATTTTGGCCCCCGATCCTGAAGTGGTATTCGACCGTTTTCTTGACCGTCTTATATCTCGGCACAGCCGGCGGAATCGTGGCCCTGTGGTTCGCCGCCGGAACCAATGGTGAATACCACTTGTCGAGCGAAAATGTTCGCATGATATCCCGCTACTTCCCTTCGGCGTTGGGCACCCTCAATGTGATCCTGTTCCGGCACCTTGTTCGCGAATACATCAGGATGAAGCCGTTTGTGGCCATGGCAGACCAAGGCGAGATCGAGAGCTCGGGCAAGGAACCCAGCAAAAGCGTCAGTGGCGCCTTCTTTCCGTGGCAGGATATCTCGATAACTCGGGGTCTGACTTCGGTCATCTCCCTGCTCTGTCAACTCATGGTGGGGTTCATTGTCAGCTTGAAGGTGGCGTTGTTCGCCAGCGGTCCTGCTACCGTCGAAAATGATGGCGAACAAGCAACAGCGGCCTGGACTCTGATGCTCCGAGCGTGGCCGGCCTTCTTCCTCATCATCGGACACATTGTAATGACAGCGTACGTGCTTTGGGTTGCGCATCTCAACCGAGGAAAGTCTACTGGCCTCAGATGGGATCCTGTGACCATTGCCGACTACTGCGCTCTGTTCGCCCACTGTGATGTTACAGAGTACTTCTCTGCCCTTGAGTTGCTCCACAACCGCAAAGCGAAGCAAGTTCTATCAGCGAACCATCGGTTTCGACTGGGATACTGGACAAAGACTATTGCTGGCTCGCCAGGTGCAGATTCTTTGGTGTACGGCATTGGCCCGACTTGGAACGCAGCCGGTAATTTTGCACGCATCTGAATTTTGTGAAACATGTGCTCACTGATAACAGAACGTCCATCAACGAAATTCGAACCTAGCTGGTACGAACGATTGATGGGAATTAAAGGGCCTAGTCCGGTCGATGACTGTGACAAATACAGGGGCGGCGACGACGAGCAGCGGTCGCCTTGTAACCAGGGAACATGGCCGGAGTGCGAACACTATCCTTACCGCCATAGCCCTGGCTGTGGAAAGGGCTGGGTCGTCTTGTCGGTAGTCCTGGTCTGGGCGGGACTCGGAGTTGCCATCTACGGGCTGATCAATGGCATCGTCTTCCATGGATTCCGTCTGGACAAGGACTGGAGCATACCGTCATCCATGTCGGTTTCTGCTGGCAACCACACATTTCACCTGCCGCCTATCGACCCGACAGATCCCGAATCAAAGCTCATTGTGTACGCCTTGTTGTTCCGGTCAGCGCCAGTCTATGTGACTGGCGTGTTCACGGCGACGATCATTGAGTGGGTGGATCTCAACATGCGATTCATGCAGCCGTTTATCAACATGTTTGGAAAAGCCGGCGACGCGGCGGATACTGTTCTCCTGGCGTACATCACCACATCGCCATTGCAGGTTCCCATCACGGCGATTGTCAAGGGCCATTACAAAGTCGCGACATTCTCCATCCTGAATACTCTCTCCCCGCTGTTCCCGATCTTCATCGGTGGCCTTCTCCAACTCGAGGACGACGATGAGAAAGTCAGGTTCATGTTTTCACTGTCGGCCTACATCGGCATCATGGTCTTTCTCATTGCTTGGAGTGTAGCAATGCCATTCGCGTACCCCATTCAGAAGCGGCTTCTCCCTCGCCAATTCTACAGCATGGCGGACCTCATGGCCATGTGTCACAGATCGTACTTCATCCAAAGGCCCTATCTTGACTTTGCTGACAACCGGCGCACCCCGTCAAAGGAGATCATGGAGGCGCGCATCCTCATGTATGGGGACCGATTCTTGTTTGGGCATTACACCGATGATGAGGACAGAAGGCACATCGGGTTCGACGTCCACAGCACCGTGGACTATAGCACCGGTGACGTGGAAGAGACCGGACTGGTGGTCGACATCTCGCCTCGGGGCGAAATAGACACGCTCACAAGCAAGACGGTCAAGACCATGACGAACCTCTTTCGTAATGCGGGCAAGGTCCAGAACAGCAGCAAAGGGTTTGTGGCGTGGCTGCGGCGGATTCTGCGGCGACAACGAAGAGAGACAGTACAAATGGAAATGAATACCTTTACTCCCAGGGGATCGGCGACTGGATCACACCTCGAGAGGCAGCAAGAGCCGCGCCAACGACCTGCTGTGGCGTTTGCTGAACTCGCTTCACCAGATTAGGAGAGAGGACCTTATCGGTGGGAACAGGGGCAATCGGCTGACTGGCGAGGATTGTCCCAAGCTTCTCACTTGTCCACGGTTGATCATGCTTGTGTCCGACTCATTATCGATGAATCGATATTTTCCAGGCCAGAATTGCCGTTTGAGGGTTCTCGACTGCTGCCAGCGCTGTCCAGGTTATTATTTTTGGTCGGGTTTTTGTACGAGGAGGAAAAGTCTTTGGATATAGACGCGTATCTTGAGTAATATGTTTTCTGTCATTGCCGTGTATTTGGTTCCGCGACGGCCACGCATTCGCTTTAGGGCAGGGAACATGCGGTGTGAAATAATCACCAGCTTAGAGTGGCTCCTATCTCGCATGTCACTGTACGATACCGTTGAGTTGAAGACCATGGCCTCATGCTGTTGACTCGGCGTTTCATAGTCACGAAAAATCGCCCACCTGACCGCCGGGGCCTCGAGCAGCTGTTTTTTCTCCCTGCCAGTAACTGATTTTGCACGCTTTGTTCGGGTTTACTCATCTTCACTGGTCCTTTCAGCGCTGAGTCTCCTTCTCACTCAGTTGGAAGACCCCTGTCGGATGCTCGGGCCGAGGTGTTTTGGCGCCGAGTTTCGAGGCCGACCAAGACGTGAAATGCTTCGATGGTCGCTCCGCCAATCAAATGCGCGAGATGGACGACGGACTGTGGTGCGGGGTTTGGGAGGGTAAGCGAGTGAGCAGACCTCGGTCGTCTTGTATCGTCGAGAGGTGGAGGGAGGGAGAGAGAGAGAGACGGAGAGAGGTGTTTCCATAATAAATCGTGAGGGTCATATAGCTAGCTACCTCTTCCTACAAAGTTGTGATCCGACTCTATCTCGACTTTGTCATACCCCCGTCATATTTATCGCCAACATCACGCTCACTTACTGGGTGTAGCTAACTAACTACCGATATTCCCTGAAACTCCGACTACACGTAGATACACACGATGGCGGGAAACGCATACGTCCTCGGCGTCGGCATGAGCGCCTTTCTCAAGCCCCGCCGTGTGCGGTACCACACCGAACTGGCCTTTGAGGCCGGCGTCAAGGCCATGCTCGACGCGCACGTGACGTACGACGACGTCGAGGCCGGCGTGGGCTGCTTCTGCGCCATGCCCACCTGCAGCGGGCAGCTGTGCTTCTACCAGTTCGGCATGACCGACATCCCCATCTACAACACCAACAACGCCTGCGCCACGGGCTCGACGGGCCTGCACATGGCCCGCAACTTCGTCAAGGGCGGCATCTACGACTGCGTCCTGGTCCTGGGCTTCGAGCAGATGAAGCCCGGCGCTCTGGGCGGTGGCGCCAGCGACGGCCCGAACCCGCAGTCCCTGAGTCTGAAGTTGATGAGCAAGACCAGAGGAGACACCGAGGCGCCCAAGAACCCGCAGATGTTTGGCAACGCCGGCCGAGAGTACATGGAGAAGTAAGTTTCGCCTGATTTCGAGTGAATCCTCACCATTTCCAAAGCGATGTAGAACACTGACTCCTCTGGTCCTGCAGGTACGGCGCCGTGGCCGAAGACTTTGGCGAGATCGCGCGTGTCTCGCACGAACACTCGTCGCGCAACCCCTACGCCCAGTTCCGCGACGTCTACACGCTCAAGCAGATCATGGACTCCCCCATGATCCACTACCCGATCACCAAGCTGCAGTGTTCACCGACCTCGGACGGCGCCGCGGCCGCCGTGGTCGTGTCGCAGAGATTCCTCGACAGCCGGCCGGAGCTCAAGTCGCATGCGATCCTGATCGCGGGCCAGGCGCTCAAGTCGGACACGCCCAACCTGTACTCGGGCAGCGCGATGGAGCTGGTGGGATACAGCACGGCGGCGCGGGCGGCGCAGGCCGCGTACGCCGACGCGGGCATCACGCCCAAGGACGTGACCGTGTGTGAGCTGCACGACTGCTTCTCGGCCAACGAGATGATCACGATCGACGGGCTGGGGCTGTGCGAAAAGGGCAAGGCCCACCTGCTCGTCCGCAACGGCGACATCACCTACGGCGGCAAGGGCCCCATCATCAACCCGTCCGGCGGCCTCATCTCCAAGGGCCACCCGCTCGGCGCGACGGGGCTGGCCCAGTGCGCCGAACTGACGTGGCAGCTGCGCGGCTGGGCCAACAACGGCCGCCTGGTCAAGAACACAAAGTACGCCCTGCAGCACAACCTGGGCCTGGGCGGCGCCTGCGTCGTCACCGTCTACACCCGCGCCGACGGCAAGGTCAACACCGACCGCGCCGTGCCCGATGACGAGATCGCCCGCCTCAGCGGCCTGGGCTACAACCCGGCCGTCGAGGCCAAGTGGGTGACCCCCGCCCAGGCCAAGAAGGTCCGCAGCAGGAAGGCCGCGTGCGACTACGCGCTGGGAGAGACGATGAGCAAGCTCGAGAATGTCAGGTTGTAGGCTCATTATGAACGAGCATTATTGTATGGAGGTAGTAGACGCACGCATGTTTTCCAAAAGTGCTCTCTGGTAACTCTGATGACTTGGTAGTAGTAGTACTACTACTACTGGTAATTATGTTTGCAATTTCCTCCCAACAAAAAAAATAGAGAATGCCATCATCATGTTTTGTGTGAAAATATCCTGACAGCCTTGTGATATCCACGTAACGAAGGACGCACACGATGTCAATCCACTCACAACTAGCTTCCTCTCTTCTACACCTTGACACTGGTACCATGTAGTTACTACATCTTCGACGTTGCTCCTTGCTGCCCACCTCTCTCCCGCGATGGCAAGGCTGGATAACTCGGCCCAGCACCCGCAGCCCTGATACGCCAGGCCCCGCCATCAACATCTATCGTTGAACCATTGACAAAGCTCCCCGTATCGGCGAACAAGAAGACCGTGGCGTCGGCAATGTCCTTGATGTTGCCCAGCCGCTGGACGGGGACACTTCTGACGAGTTCGTCCCTGAGGGCAGGATCTGTCAGGCGTTTGGCGCCTTCGGTGTCGTCGATCAGGCCAGGCGCGATCACGTTTGAGGTGACTCCCCTGGGACCGTATTCGAGGGAGATGCAGTCTGAGAGGGCGTTGACGCCGGCCTTGGCTGCGCAGACGTGCGCTTGGGCGATTCGGGCCGCGTGGTAGTTTGTCGAGCTGACGAAGATGATCCGGCCTCCAGTCAGGCTTGGTGAGCCTGGAAGCAAAGAATTAGTACGCTAGTAAGTACTCCTAGGACTACTGTACTAAGTAGCTTCGAGTTGGTAGAGGCACTGTGCACTCACCTGAATCTTTGCTGGCCTTGGCTCGTTCCGCAGAGGCAGCGAGATGTGGCAGCGTCAACTTCGCCGTGATGAACGAGCCCACCAGGTCGATGTCGACCACTGCTTTGAACGCATTCACCGAGAGATCGTCGATGGTTGAGATGAAATTGCCTGCTGCTCCAGCTCTTGAAAAGCAAAGGTTAGCCAGCAAACTCTCTGATATGAATGTAGTTCGTGTGACACACATGACAAAATCAATCCCTCCCAGACGCCGCACACAAGTGTGGACCGCTCCCTTGACACTGTCGTGATTCCTCACATCCACACCTCCCAGACCCAGCACGGTGCTTCCAGGTCGCACGAGCGCAATCTCAGCCGCCACCGCTGTCGCCTTTTCACCGTTCCGTCCAACGATGCAGGCGTTGGCGCCCAGAGCGACCAGCGCTCTGACTTGGCCGGAGCAGATGCTTCCGGATCCGCCGGTGCAGAATACGACCTTGTTGTCTGCATTTCGAGAGTGAGTGAGAAAAAGGAACTTGAAGTCAAAGGAGAAGAAGGTGAGATGACGAGTCCCGTGGGGGCTTTACTTACCAAACAATCCTGGTCTCCAGGACGTGCTAGAAGCCATTAGATTACACGCACCCGGTGGTGAATTGATTGCAAGCAGGAGTCAAATCTTAGCAGACTCGGGATTTTAAGTCATTGCGAGAGAGGTAAAATACTAGTTACTTGTAAGTAGTACTATGACATTACAGTCCTAGAGGGGAGATAGTAATGACCCCAGCTTGCAGACGCCGAGGCGGTGGAGGTTGAGCGGGAATAACAAAAGTCGGCGATTTCCTAAAACGGATTGTGACAATGTTAATAGTTGGCCGCTACAAAGCCCAGACAGTACCACCCACAACTGACTTGATTTTGTCTGTTTGCCGTGCTACAGTAGGTTACCAAAAGTCACCGGACACTAGCCCCTTGGCACCCACACCACCACATAGATGAATAGATTTCAAAGCATTATTTCTCAACCACCATCTATCTATTTATTATTCTATTGTTGTAGAGATGCCCTCTAGACGTAGATGGTCTAATTTTGAGCGCGGCACAGTATATGGCCTTCATTTAGCAGGTAAATCCGTACGCGAAATCGCAGTAATCGCAAAGATCCCCAAATCAACAGTGTCAGATATCATATAAAATCCACGCCCAGATCCCACCAGTCGGACTGGAAGACCTAAGAAGCTTACTAAGCGAGCGGAACGACGCCTTCTACGTACTATTAAGGTTAATCCTAGGATTAGCTATCCTAAGTTACGAAAAAGACTCGATTTAGATGTATCCGACCAGACTATTCGAAGGCTATTTCAGGACCACCACATTAAGAAATGGATAGCTAAACAGCGTCCTAAATTAACGGATAAAGCTGCTAAAGTTAGGTACGAATGGGTATTAGCGCATTAGGACTGGACGTAGGAAGATTAGCTTAAAGTTATCTAGAGCGACGAATACTCTATTCAACGCGGTAGTGGAACTCGACGAGAATGGGTCTTTCGGACGCCCTAGGAGAAGTAGGAGAAGGACATAATTACTGAGAAAGGCATGAGTAAAGATGTCTCAATCATGATCTGGGTAGCGATCTTTAGCGAAGGCGAATCGTCCGATGCCTACCTCCTTTCGCGCGACTAGGAGTCAGCGAAGATGGGCTACTCAGCTAATTCCTATATCTAAGTCCTTACCGATAACATTCCGTCGATCTAGGAGCCTGGCAGGATATTCATGTAGGACAACGCGCCTATTCACAAAGCGAAAAAGGTCACAGAGTGGCTAAACGACCATAGAATAGATGTGATGGAATGGCCACCATATTCGCCAGATTTGAACCCCATCGAGAACCTCTAGTTTAAGCTGAAATGCCTCGTTAATGCCATCGATCTAGGCCTTCGCTATACAGTGGGAGACTCACAGGAGGTACTCAATCGCTTTGTAAACGCCATTATAAGGGCCTGGACTAGTCTAGACAAGAAAAAGATTAAGAATGCCATTAAGTCAATGGACGAGAGAGTCAACGCAGTTATTGAGGCTAAGGGCTGGTATACGCGGTTTTAATCTGGAAGATGCGATATTCTGAAAGTACTTCTCTTGAGCTATTAATTCATACTAGCTGTACTGTTCTACTATAGTAAATACATAGAAAAAAAATATAAAGTGTATGGGGGGGTAGTATTCAGGAGGCGTGCCAAGGGGCTAGTGTCCGGTGACTTTTGGTAACCTACTGTAGCTGCCCATGGAAGTCGCTCCTGGTCGTGCCTTCACTCTCGGGAAATGCCACGGCCATCCCAATCAGGAAATTATGTACCAGAATAGGCAGGGGTATGGCACGAGTCCTACGTAAAATTATCATCAGCTCGATTCCAGACGAAGACCACATTATGCACACTTGAATTCCGCCAGGACAAGTTCGAGTACCTCGTGACGAATTCGGACCGGCCGCATCGCACCTGACCAAGTGATCAAAGCTCTGAAAAGGGACTAGTCTCTCCCGTCCGCTCTGGATTTTCCGCTTTGGGCGAAATTCGTGTCGTGTTTGGCATTACCCTTAGAACCACGATTTTTGTCGTTCGAGCAGTTCAACTCATGTTGTGAGAATGGACATATATTTTGCCCTAAAACAGTGATCCTTTACTACGTAGTGAATGCTAAAGCTATATGGCTTCAGGCCCTCTGAGGATGCGGGAACAGCGTGCACGATATGATGGAGTGGTTCAGCACTTCTGTTATTAACCCGCTTTAGCTTGTTATTTCATGGCTAAGTAGTCTGTTTCGTTCCCGAAGGAGTAAGGATTCCCCTTCAAGACCTTTTTACAAATTGATGTGGTATATACCAGTAGTACTCGGTAAATGTCAGCGTAGTAATGAACACCAGCATTCGATCTACCCCCTTGAAATAACGGGTCGCATGAATCGACTGGTCTGTCCAGCTCTGGGCTGTTCAACACCAAAAGTGATAGTTTATCAACATGTTACAGAAAACATATACCACCTGTTCCGAGTCCTTACACCTGACCATCCTGTATTAGAGTAGAGAGTGGTAGTACACCTGGCTGATCTCTAATTTATCCTCGTCAACTGAATCGCTGAGACTGCTCCATAGGATACTTTGTATGCGACAGTGGGAGCATTGATACTGGCGCAATATGAGAGACTTCAAGTCTCTGTACATACTCTACTACTACTACTACTACTACTAATAGATTAATTACTAGCTAGTTCTCCAAGATAAAATCTTCTGTCATTCCCCGACCTAAATGCTACATTAAAACTCGTGACGATAGAAACCTGTCAACCTTACATCGTCTGCTAAAAGCAATCTATATGAAACCATTTTGAGAACTTCGGGTTAATGTTGCACTTCCCCCCTTCTTCCTTCTCTATATAAGTGAGTATAGTTCTACTTTATGCCTAGAGTTCAAGGTGATGAAAGATGTCTTTGAGGTGTTCGACTGTACCCAAGTAGTGTGTATTCCACAGGGTTCTTTCATCAACCCACAAATGGCAAAAAACTTGTCACAGAACAGCTCAACCTACTGGTCTGTGACAAGGAAAACTCGCTCCTTGCGGAGTTGGTTCTTCTCGGCCGGTTATACTACGAATTCTATACTACGAGGTTGATGTCGTCGGAGTGTCGTCGAATCGATGGGTTCGGGGATCGATCCTATTGCCTCTAACCGATGTTAGATTGACCTGATAGGAGCGAAGTCGCCGAAAGGAGGGGAGGGGATTCGAAATCGAGGTCCTGATGCCCACTAACCCGGAGTTAGTTTTGACCTGACAGGACCTGGAATTATAAGTATCTGTCATAACCGTGACTCGAACTCGTGGTGTTTGGTTTCGCCCTTGTTGTGGGGTAAGGGGGTCTTTGCGTGACAGATTTGAGAAAGAGAAAACATATATACAACTAATTTTTGATTCCTTTTGTACCGGGTACTGATAGTACTTAGTACTTCTAGTAGTACTATCTCTATCGTGTCTTGGCAGAGTGGTAGACTAAGAGTGCCAAGGCGCTCGCTATATCCTAAAGCGGCAGTATGTCAGAGTGGCACTACAACATCGTATCAGCAACTTGAAGGGGATCGCCACATACTTAGTATTATGACATTGCCAGACGAAGTGACAGTCCCACCACTGGCCGTTCATTGTTTGCTCACAGCCCGCTCCACAACGTCCAGGCCGGCCAATTTTTTGAGTAACCCCTCCGGCAATGCAAACGGCCGAATGCTCGACAACCAGGCAACCCAGGCCTTTGTTCCTCTCCAGATGTTGGCCGGAGGGGTATCATTCTTCAGTAGGTCTCTCGCGACCTGTTTCGCCCACTGCTCCGCCGTCACTTCCACGGGGAACGTCTCTCCACGCATGACCTTCTCGACCGTGTCCCTCGCCACCGCGTAGAGCGAACCGGCGGGCAGCTTTGCACCCATGTTGTTGCTGAAGTTGTTGGACGAGGCGCTGGACGATTTCATGTCGACCACTCTGATACCAAAGGGGGCAAGCTCCAGTCTCATACAGTCCGAGAACATGATCATGGCTGCCTTGGAGGCGTTGTACGCCGACTGGAAGGCGATGGGCGCCAGACCCGCTGACGAGGTCTGATTGACCACAATGCCCTTCTTGGACTCGACCAGCCGTGGCAGAAAGGCCTGCGTCATGGCGAGATAGGACCAGGTGTTCAGATCGAAGAGCTCCTTGGCCTGAGCGATCGACATGTCTGAGATCGGCATGCTGTAGAGGGCGCCTGCATTGTTGACCAACATGTCCAGGTGGGTGACTTTGGCTACCGCGGCCGAGATCGACTCTGGGGAAAGGACATCCAATGTCAAGGTTTCGATCCCGTGAGCTTGTACCTGGCCGAGTTTGGAAGGGTTGCGTGCCGTGGCGTACACATGGAGGCCAGCCTCGTGGAGAGCAATCGCAAGTGCAGAACCCAACCCGCCGTCCGAACAGCCTGTGATTAGGACCGTGCGTTTCTTTCGGGCCACGGAAGAAATCTTGTCGTCGTTCGCCATGCCACCCGCACAGAAAGACTGTCAACAGTATATACCTCGTACCCTAAAGTAGCTAGCGGTTGAAGGGTTCAAGGGGGACCTAGTTGGCTTTGGCCAGAACCTAGTCACTGTTATATGTTGGAGAGCAGAGACATACTACTACTTAGTAATCCCCCAGTTCGACATCTATCACCGGTGAAGTAGCCTTGCCACCCCCGGTAGTACTCTCTTGGTGGGTCGCGGGAAGCCTCGTTACGTGATCGGGACGATATTTCATCCGCCCAACGGCATGTCATGAACTCCGTCACACACAAATCACATAACCATAACCAGTCTCTTCCCAACTTGACGACACCGTTTCACCGGAGAATGGACAGAGTGCTGTCGCGATAGCCGGGGGCCATGGAAGAAGATGCAGACTTGGTATTACGTGTGAGTCTCGCCCGTCCTAGCAGTAAATTTCCTTCGTCCGTCCGTCCGTCCGTCTGTACGGCCTTGCCCTGATCTGATTTTCCCCGTTGATGCAGCAGCGGCGTCGCGACAAGGGCAAAGTCGCGCAGCGCAATTTCAGGAAAAGACAGGCCGAAAAGGCTTTGGAGTTGAAGCAGGATTACAAACAACTCAGACATCTGGTGGAGGCTGTTGTGCTCGCCCACCGCGACGGTGACACGGCGACATTGAGCCAGGCCATTGCCCAGGCTGGCAGGGCAATTGGGGTTGGCCTGGACCGAGACAGGATGGACCGAGTGGACGAACGTGCTCAATCTGACCCCTCTCACACTTCGATGGAGGGGGTCGTTACTGGTATCTCAAACATCATCAGGCCCGTATGTGCAGCCACTATAGAATGTTCAGGAGAACCCACCGTCACCGACAGAGACACAGGCCAGTCACTACCGCGACTCCCCCAGCCGCGCTCGGGACGATTCAGCCCACGGCTCGACTACGGCATCTGGCTCGAACCAGAGCGGTTTCTCAAGATCGTCGACCCTCCGCTCGACATCCGGCCATACATTGGGGCTAGGAAGCACACAGTGGCCGGGCGGATTGCCTGGGCGGCTCTGGACTACGGGTACGCCTGTCTCCAAGAGGCCATGATGACCAGTCAACCCGCCACCGCCACGGCCACAGGGGCCAGCAAGAGCAAGGCCGACTGGCTCACCCTGCTGCCACCCGAGTCAGCAGGCCGGCGAGCGTTCGACCGCTCGCTGCGGCACTCGACGCCCCTGCACGACGTGGCCTACATGATGGACCTGGTGGCGGCGCGGATCGAGTTCCGCCAGCGAGGGTACATGCGGGCAAACACGCGCGGGGCCGACGAGATCGCGCGCCAGGCCATGGCCGGGAGTGTCGCGGCCGGGTTGCGCGTCAGGGGAGTGCGGATGGACCAGTGGTGGTCGGCGCTGGATATCGAAGCCCATGTCCAGACCGAGATGGGCGTTTGGGACTTTGCGGCCTGGCAGATGGCCCTGTGCGGCAGCAACCAGGAAACCAACAACAGCCACGCTGAGCTGATCATGCCCCTGGTCGAGAGTCTGGGTCACAGTGGCGTCTGCTTTGGCGATGGTCCCCGGTGGCACGTCCCGCGTGTCAAGGCCCTTGTCGGGTCATGGTGGAGCCAGGTCTCGAGATTGGACTTGCGGTAGAGATATTAATAGATGGTGTATTATCTGTTTTGTGTGGAGATAACCCCCTGAGTTCGCGCCAGGTTTTCCCAATACAACAGATTTCTACACTCTATACTACTACTATTCTTACACTCGCACTGTCTACTATCTTCTAGACGTCAAGGAGGCTCGCTTTCTTGGCCCCCTTTCCTGCAGTGGTCATTTCATTACACATCCACCCTCCTCCACCCTAGAGCATGGACGCGGCGGTGTTGTACTCTGGACAAGGGGCACCCTCCACGCAGACATCATCGCGCCGCGGGCCTGGTACCGGACAAAGTTTCATCTTTTGTTGTAACTCGTCAACGAACGTCATGCATGGGTCTCGTGCAGCCCCCGCCTTCTTGGTCGGTTACGTCGTCACCAGCCAGCAGTGTCCATGCATCGGTTTCGAACCACATGGTAATAAAGTTCTCGTCATCCTCGAGAGGAATAATGACGAGTGAATGGATACCGAGGTATCATTTGCGCCCGATTGATTGGTCTTTCTTTCTCTTGGAAATACTTCGTAAAGCCGTCCCGGGCCCCAGCATGGGCACGCACGCTAGACGTCGTCCGACTGTGAACCCGGGACATCTCCTCTGGTCCGGTCGATCAGATGCGTGAGCACGATCACGCCCTCTCGGACCACTGCCCACCGGACCGTTGCGAGAGTCTTCACGACGCAATTGAGCAGGCCATGTGGCCGATACGTCCTGGCCGCGGACCAGATGTCCTTGGCGAAGCTTTGTCGCACGGGGTCGAGCCTCGTCAGAGCACTGACCAGAGCGTTCATGTCTGTTCGTGAATCCCAGTCGTCGTCGTCGTCTTCGCCCGCTTCCGCATCATCAGCCGTGGGTGGGTCGTAAAGGGGCTTTCGCGGCTCGTCCGCGTCACGTCCAACGGCCATGCTATATGTCGTCCAACAGGTCAAGGTCGCTAGGTACAGACACCAGGGGAAGAGGATCATGTCATCAACATCCCAGTTGTCAAGCTTGCGGATGCCGTCGCGGATGAGTCGCGCGGCGTGCCATGTCGCTTGGCCCATCCCCTTCCCATCATCCCTCGTCATGTATTCGTTCAGTCTCACGCGCGATCGTTGGCGATCCAAGTCCGTGACAGGTCGGCCGGTGATGTGTTTTGCCCCTGCATGGATCTGGAGATCAGCAGTTTCGACCTCCAGGACCAGCTGTGCCGTATGGTAGACGGCCGAGTTGGCGACCACATAGCGTTGAAATTTGCCATGTTCGGCTGTCCCGGCGGACAAGGTTGACAGGACGTCGCGCGTGTACCGATCAAAGTCCTCCTTCCATTTCGCATAGCAGGCGCTGATTTTGGCTTGCCACCTGACCTGCGTTGAAGTAGCGTTCTTGTTCAAAGCCGTCTGATCACGACGCCGGAAATCCCACGAGAGCGACATGAGTCCGTGGAAAACCAGAATCCGGGACAGGGCATTCAGATGCATGGGCGCCGACGACACACTCGGGTCTGTGTACATTTGCAACACGGTGAGGTACGGTAGGGGTGCGGGAGAGTTTTGACTTAGATGGAGCCATTCCTCGGCCGTGTCGGCTTCCCAGATAGCAGTATCCCAGGGGAGGGTCACTTTGAGTTCCGACGCATTCAACTATTGTTTTGGGGGGGCGCATCAGCATTTATGTCTGTCACATGGGTTCAAAGGCCCCCCGAGCGACACGCAAGCAAAGGGTCCCGGCACTTACACAGAGGATCTGGGCAAAGAAGATGGCATGCTGTGTGTCCCACATGAAGGAAATCAATGCAAGTCTGTAGGAAGAAGTGAGCTTGGAACAACACTTTGATGCGGCTCTCCATACCTCCGCTTCTCCTCCGCCTCAATTGCCATGTGCCAGTAGTCTTCCAACGTCTGAGTCGCTTCGTCCCAAGGCGGAAGATATGCGTTGTGGCAATCGCTCCTTCGGAGGAGACTAGCAGAGTTAGTCCAAGGAAATATATAGACGCAGTCTCTTGCCTTACTTGATCTGAAGTCCGTGGTAGAGGTTGGACATGTCGTGCTGGCGCTCACCGGCACGACTCTTGCCAAAACACTCGACCAACAAAATCGTCTGTAACATCCAGAGTTTGGGTCTCGGCCCAAAGTCCTTGCTGCTGTGAATCAGCGGCCTCATGATGTTGTGCACACATACGGCCAGCAGATGCGTCCTCTTGTCGCCATACGTGGCCCCCAGAAGGACAATGGACATGAGTTGTAATGGGTGTGCCTTCGAGCTCTGAAAGGTTGCCGCATGAATCAAGGGATACGTGGAGTTGAACCGTGTAAAGAACAAATCACTGTAACGTTGCAGACATTGCAGAGACAGCAGCGGGTCACACGGGCTGATCTCTGACTTGTCTGGCAAGGTTGGCCGAGCCTGAGCGATCAATTGCAGCAACCCGTCGCGGGCCTCATTCGTGACCATGGGCAGCGTCGTCGGACGTCGTCGGATATACGTGTCTGGCAGGGTGCGGCTGGGAGAATCCACAAAGTTAGATGGTGTCCGCGTGGAGCTTCTCGTCTGTCGGCTTGAGGGGAAATATAGATCAGGACTGTCAAGCCCGATCATGCCGAATTCGTTTGCACCACCTTGCTTCGTTGGAGCGGATAAATAGCTAGGTAGACCTTGTGGTGAGAGACGTGGTTGCGTATTTGTCGAAGGATATCCGACAGTCTGGCATACATGGGTGTTCAGGGAGGGGAACCTGGTCTCTTCGTTCCGGAACTGGACAGGAGGAGGTGGAGGCGAGCGAAGGCTCGGGTCAAAGCGATCTGGTGCCGAATGATCCTGCATCTGGTGATCTGTGAGCCCGATGCCAGTTGTCATGTCTGGCAATGGCTCGGACTGATGGTTAGTCGTGTTGGAAAAGTCATTCCCAAAAAGCCAGCTGTAGTACTGCAACGTCGGCAGGGATGTGCTGAAGGAGATTGCTGGGACTGTCAGTATCGGCCTGGCCAACGCATTGCCTTCTACATACTGGTATCAGGAAAAGAAACATCGTTGTAAGGGAGACCACAAGGGCCCGCTGCTGTGGTCTGGTACGACTGGTCGGACCACCACGAGTCGGACAGAAAGTCAAGGTCCGCGGCCCCTTGAGTTGGAAACATCATGTTCAAATCAATCGATTGCCACGGGCCTTGGAGATAAGTGTCGTCTGTAACCTGCTCATGACTCATCTGGTCTAGCCCAGTGCTCGGATCTGAGATAGGCGGAGATGGCAGAGCATTGTGAGCATCCTCAGCCGTTGCCTGAGTCTGTCTGTCGTATCTGGCATCGAACCCTGGAGAGGTGGTGACGGTCTTCTGGGGCCGACTGGCGTTGACTATCCTCCCAGCACTGTCCCGCCACAGTCGCTTCTTCGTAGCCAGGTTGCCGAGTCCCTCTCCCCCGGCTTCGGCGTCCTTTTGGCGGTGACGTTGCACATGGCGCTCTCCACGGTAGAGTTAGAGAACGGAGCATCCCATGGGGCGCGCGCGGGAGAGCCAGAGTCTACTTACCCAATAGATCACGCCGCCTGAAGTGGGCAGCACAGCGACGGCAAGTGAGGTCGCCGTCTTTATGGTTGGATTCATGCCGGTGCAGGTGCTCGCGCCTCACAAATGATTTCCCGCAGTTCTGTTGGGCGCACACGAATTTCTTCCTCGCGTGTCTGGGATCTGGGGTCGCCTGAACAGTATTGGCCGAGGACGAGGACGCCATCCCGCCTTCTGACTCGCCAGCTTGCCTGACCTTGTCACAGGCAGGAGTAGGAGGTAAGGGACATGGGTGATTTACCGGGGATATTAATTGTCGAAGGTGGGTGTCTGATTTCGCTCCTCGTGCCCCAGTTTATTTACTTTGTGGATGTCGTGATTGAGGCGTTGATTTAGCTCATCACCATCGCATAGCAGTCACTAGCCACTCGACAGATGCTCTGCGGGCTATTGGTGGGGTAGAACTATTGAATTACCACCGTTGACCCTCTTACAATGGATGGTCTAACGGGATTCCAACGTGTAAACCAAAGACTTCAAGGCAATTTAGTATAGCCTGGTATGTCGGGGGTTGGTCAGAGCCCTACTCCCGTCTAGGTCTTGTACAGCGCTTCACGAGGAATGGAAGCATTGTAATATTGTTCCTCAATCGTCTTTCTTTCTGCTTCTGTGTACAACCCTAACCCTACTCCTTTGCATATTACGACGACAATGGCGATTGAGTCGTAGATCCAACCCTGTCCAGCTTCCTTTTAGGTGATGTATCTGAAACGAGGGTTGTTATCGCCCAGCTCCTCAATCTCGTCGTCTGACAGCCCGGCGACTTTGTGGTCCTGCTTGCCTGCTGCCCTGCTCTTGTTGACCGCAGAGTAGTAAACCCACATGAAAGCAAAGCTGAGCGTCCCGAACGCGACCATGGCCAGGGTGACGGCATGTCCCATGATGTAACGGGGGGCATCGGTCGCCGGATATAGCTGTTATTGATCGATTAGTTCTTCCCACTTCTAATGTGATCGTCCACAGTCTCAAGGGAGGTCACTCACAAAGCTGGACGGAATGCCCGCACTGTTACCAATCATGGCTTGTAGGGCGATGGTTGTCGTACGTTTTCCATAACGTGGAGTGTGCGAAGGCAGCCAAGCGAGTGGGAGGCCGATGACACAATACATTCCACAAGCGACCAGGAAGCATCCGGCGTAGTGAACGGCGCTCCCGCCATCCGAGATGAGCATACAGTAACCAGTGATGGAGATAGTACCAAAGATGACGCAGTAAAGTCCACGCCGCTGTTGTCGGTCGGAAACGATGGCCACGCTCAGGTATGTGATGGCTCCAAGGGAATAAACCGGAATGGTGAGAGCCTGGACAACGGCGCTCGTGGCCGTGGGCATAATACCCCTGATAATGGTTGGCAGGAATGTGCTGAAGCCGTAGAGGGCGACATCGACACCAAATTGCGCCACAGAAAAGACCCAGACCTTCCAGTCCAGGAGACCTTCTCTGACATCTTTCC